AAATAGATAGATAGAATATAATACATATAATAAATATAATCAAAAAGTTCTTATTGGAAATAAGAACTGGGGCTAAAACAGATATCAATTGACATATGTATCTAGGAGCTGTGTTTTTTCATCTTTTTCTTTTCATGTTTACTCTTCAGTAGGTGCAGCAGGCCCAGCCCAGACTGGAACCTTTTTGTGTGCATGCATGTATGAGTGTGTGTGCATAGAGAAGCTTCTCAGATCCAGGTGGGGTCTCCTGTGCATAAATTAGAGTAAAAATGAAAGAAAGGCATAGCTGCTAGGCATAACTTTAGGGTGCAATTCTATGCATGTTTAAACAAACTTACTTCTCTCTAAAACTGCATAGGATTATACTCCTAAAGTAATATCTGTTTTGCTTCTCACTTTATTGTGGCATCTGGGCACTTTGAAGGGGGTCAATTTGTGTCACAGAATATACTTCTGGTCAGGCCCATGTACCAGTTTAAGGAAAACAGGGCAGCAAATAATAGAATAATGAAATAATATTATCTTTTATGATGCACTCAAGTAAAATGTAGATCAGAGGTTTCAACAGCCAACTCTTACTAATCCGGTAAATCAAATATATAACAAAGTGTAACTGTCTGGAGCAATTTTTCTCCTCTAACACACTGTACCCCAAAACTAAAGATGCAATACAGAAGTGCTTTCCAATAAACAGTATAGAAATTACACTTATTCTACACTAAATGTAGAATGTTGGACTGAGACTCAGCAGAGGGTTTTGAAGCCCTCTGGGACATGAAACTCACTGGGAGGTTTTGTGTCAGTCACTGACTATCATCCTACCCTATTTTACAGACCTGCTTTGGGGTTACATAGAGAGGAGGAAGATCATGTAAAGCACCTGAGAATCTTAGCAAGAGGACAAGGGGGGGATGTATATGTAATAAATAAATAAAGTGTGTAGAAATAGGGTTGGATCCTCATTGTGTCTCCTTGTATACATATATCAAGCTGATCTTCCCGACAGCTTGAACATGAGTGCCAATCAATAGAATTTCTATCCTTTTTTAACATTTTGTGTATTATGTTAAATGCATACCTGACTTTACTGCAAGGGTTTAAAATAGATCATAAACCAAAAGCAACAATCCTATGTTGGATCTACCCATTACAGTAATATAATAGGATTAACAAGTTTTGTTAAATTAACAGTCTTGATGAAACTTCATGTGTGGGGCAGAAAAATCCACATGGCTTACACAGAAATGACAACTGATCATTGCATCTTTTTCATAATACCTTAACCAGAAGTCACTGGGTCCAGCAAAGGTGATTCGTGTAAAGAAGTAGGCTTCCATGCAAGTTCCCTTTTTGGATTGAGCCATGCACAAAGGCAAGGGTACTGCACATAGAGTTTCCATTCCTGGGTCAGAACTCCATATTATGGCATTGGGATGGCTGTTCATACAGGCCATTCTAATAATGCCTGTTATCTATGTAGGTGGTGATGGGTCTGTGCATAGGCCCTCTCTGATCAACACAGTCAAAACAAAACAAAAATAGATATTGGTTTGTAGGAATGAACAAATTTGTCAATTTAAGTTTCTCATTTTGCAATTTTATGTTCATTTCTAACCGCATATTTTTAAATGGCATGAAAATGTGTATATGTTTTTGTGTGTATTTCTCCCAGTACATGCAATTTTGCACATGATTTTGCTGAATATGCACAGTTTTTGCAAGCAATTTTCACTTATGCCCAATGTTTGTGTGCACTTCCCTCTAATATGCATATTTTGCACGTATGTTTTGATTAGAACTCCACTGTGGTATTAGCTAAATTCACAATAAAATGTGAACTAAACAAATGTGTCCTCCATCTGCATTAGCATGACCAGTACAAAACAGGCAGGCCATCCAGTGAAATAGAAACACTGTTTTTCATGTGGCTACATGCAAGGTATATGGATCTTGGCCAAGATTCTCAAAAGTGTAAACATCATTCCCCAGAGGCTTATCCTCAAGGGAAGTACATTTGAAGAGAAATGACTTGGAGTGTGATCAAAACTGTAACAGAGATAATCAGATCTGAATAGTCATCCCTGTTGTTTTTTAAAATTATACAGTGGGAAGCCACATTATCCTGGATGATGATGATGATGATGATTCATTCCTTCCATAGGCTCCATGCCAGAGGAGGCTATAGGATGAACACTCTTGCTAGGATCAGGATCTCTAATCAGCTTTTATTTTTAACACCACAATGTCTGCAAGCTAGTAAGCTTTGGGGTCATGATGACCTATTAGCTTCTCATTGCTCACTTAAAGTCATCAGACCAGCAACAGATAATTATCTCATAGAAGCTACATTTCTAAGCTTCACTGGACTGTCTGGGGAATAACAGCAACCCTGGAGCTCATTTCGTTCTTCTAATTTACTCCTTGTTTGGTTTGTCATTTTGTGTTGTGCAGAACTTGGGATTAATAGAAAAGCATAAGGGTGAAAAGGACAGTGCCTGTTACACAGTTATAATATACTTTGTCTTCTGTTAAGTGAATAAGCAGATTATGATGAATACACCAACCAACCAAGCAGTATCCACTATAAGTGATAGCACATCCAAATACAGATCTCTTTGTTTGCCATCTTTTCCATATAAGTCACCCCACAATTAATGCTTTCACAATGAGATGTCACATTTTGCACTCATTTCTGCCATCACTCTCAAATCATTAATATTTTCAGAATTTCAAAATGTGTCCTTATTAGCACAGCTGTAAACTCTAGTTCCCCAGACAAAAGATGCTTCCTCATTGTGCTCT